GCTGCAAACACAGTGCCGTGTAAGAAATGACTATTAACAGGGCAGCTCTCAGAACTGAGCCTTCTTTCCCACTCGCACTTGTGTTGCCTTATTTCAGTCCTTCATGACCTCACATCTAAGTTCCTGCCACAGAATCTACGAGTGGAAGAGAGAGGGAGGGGAAAGCAATGCTGGCCTTGGGGTCCCCCTGCCTTTCACCGAGGGCTGCTCCTGACCCTCTGTGCTTCCGTCTTCTCCTCTGGGAAATGGGGATGCTGATGGCCACTCACTCTTTAGGCTGTGTGGGGACTAAGCCAGAGCAGGTTTGTGGGGAGTGGCTGTCACCATTCCCCACCCGTTTCTTTGACCCTAAGGTCTCCCTTGCCCCCTCTATCCTCCCCAATGGCTGCCAGCATCACTGCTTCAAAACACTGATTTTGTGACATCACTTTTCTGCTCAGAAAACCTTTCTGAGTCCAGCAATTGCGCTTGTAGGAATAATTACAGGGGTTTATAAAGATTTAGCTCTGTGAATGTTCATAATGGTGAAAGATTATAAATACCATACATGCTTAAAAACAGGAATGAAGTGACGGTGCATTCATGGTGTGGAATTCTATGGAACCATTTAACAGATGTTGCAGAGCTGGTTCCTGAGCATCCAGTAACTGGTTAAGAGCCAAGGCTTTAGACAGCACCACCCAGGGAACTTTCTGCAGTGACGGAAACGACCTATGAGTATATCTGCACTGTCTCCTGTAGTAGCCACTAGCCACACGTGGCTGGGAGCACTTGAAATGTGGCTAGGTCAGCTGAGGAACTGATTGTTAAAGTTTATTTAATAGTAATTCATTTAAACGTAAACAGCCACATGGGGCTGGTGGTTACCTTATTGAGCAGTGCAGCTCTAGAGACAAAGGCAGACTGCAGGGGTTCCAACCCAGGCCACACCACTCGCAGAATGTGGGACCTTGGGTGACTTACTCAGCCTCTCTCTATGCCTCACCGTCGTCACCTGCAAAATGGGAACAGCACTAGCACCTGCTTCATAGCAAGTCCCATTGCTGTTCTTATGTTACTATTGTTCTGTGCTAGGCACAGCCAGGGACAGGCTTGTAACTGCTGGTACTGAGCACTGGAAACATACTGTTACGTGAGAAACACACATCGTACAATGGAATATACAGTATGTGCTCATTAAAAAAAATGTACATCATATACAAAGAAAAACCTCTGTAAGGGTATTCACCAAAATGTGAAGAATGATTGCTGTTACAAATTTTTTCTTCTTCCTGACATTTATACACACACACACACACACATATATATATATATATTTGTTTTTGTTTTTCACAAAGAGGACACCCTACTTGTTATAGAAACAATAGTTAAAACTTTCATTTCCCTCCACTGCTTATTCACTGGCAGATGCATCCAGGCCCCTCTAATCCAGGCACAACCTACCTCTCGGGTTTATGTTCTCTTCCCCTTCGCACCCTCTCTACGCCAGGAAAACGGGCCAGTCCACTCGTCCTCAGGGCCCTTCCCCTCCTGCCCATCGGGGCACAGTCTAGCTTGCCCAGCTAGAATGCCCTCCCGTTTCTTCCCCTTTTCAAATCTCTCCACCCTCCTTCCCTTAGACTTCTGCAAATCAAAGTGATCCTCCGTCCTCCACATTCCGCACTACACAGCCTTTCTAGGCCACGTCCCCCTCAATAGGCCAAACCTCCCTTCCAGAGGGGCTGGCAGCCCTGGTATATCCCCACATCCTCCTCTCCACACTCAGTGTGGTGCCTTGGACGGCGATCTAACTTGTCAGCATCGAAATTTTCAAAGAGACATAGAAACGGGAGTATCACCGATATTCTTCAGGCAGCTGAAATTTTTCCCCTTGGTTAGTCCTACTGACTTCACTAGTGTGACAGTGACAGTACAAGGAAAGTGCTGAGCACAGTGCCTGGTGGCTGCTAAGGGCCCAGGATGTGTCGACTAATATTACTATTGTTCTCTTGAAATGCAAGTGGAGGATCACACAGATTTGTCCCCCTTGTCCCTGTCAGACATTCCTCCTCATCCTTTGGGTCATTGTCAAGGGTCATTTTGTCCCTTCACGTATGTAGGAAATATTTACAGAGCACAGGTTGCTTTCCTAGCTCACCTACCATTGCCCTAGGCTCTGAGGACACAAAGCAAAGACGCGCATCTTCTATCTGCCCTCAGGAAGGGTTACATGCTGGGGGACAGATCAAGGGAGAATACACAAAACAAGTACACAGGCCCAATAATTACCAACTGTGCAGCTGCCACAAAGGAAACCTCAAGAATACCTCCCCTAAGTCTACAGACCAGGTTAGGTTTCTGCGTTTCACATCTCAGAGCTAAACAGGGCGTTTTTTTATTTTTGTGGTTGTTTTGTTGTTTTTTTTTTGGTTACGGCACTTAACACGGTTTACAGTATTTGAGCGATTCTGTCATTAAAAAGCATTCCCCCTAACTAGACTGTAAAGGCCCGGATTCTAGGGATAGAGGCGACCGCGGTTCCCAACATACATTAGGGGCTCCATAAGTTATCACTTAAATCAGTTGACTGATCCCCCCTTAACTGGATCTGGGGCAAGTGGGAGGTTTGGTCCCCAATCTTTTTTATTTTTTAACAGTAAGAACAGCGTTCTAAACCGTTTCTGCATAGGCATGGACTAAGGGTTTGGAGATCTATTTGAGGGAAAAGCAGAAAAACAAAACAAAACCCTGCCATCAGGGCGTGGTCCTTAACTCAGCGCAGCCCGGGGGGAAAAATCAGGGCCCTTTCTTCCGGCTAAAAATAACCGGAGCCCTATGACCCGGAGGTAGGGGGAAGGGGAGACAGGGGAGAAGAGGAGGGGACCCGCCAGGATACCCCTGCCCAGACGCGGTCCCACCTGCCCTGGAGTAATCCCCTGCTTCCTGAAGACCCAAGGACCAAGCAGCGTGCCCACGGGGTGGGGGTCCCTGCGGGTGCTGCTGAGCCAGGGCGGCTGCCCCGATTTGCCTCAACCGGCCAAGTCCGGATTGGGGGTTGGGGACGCCCTGTCTGGGAACAGGGGGTCCCCGGTGTCCTCAAAGCCGCGGTGCTGTGTGACATTGGGCAAGTCACCTAACCTCTCTGGGCCCCCGTCCCCTCCTCTGGAAGAGAGGGGTCTCGGCAGATGCCCTCTAAGGTCCAAAGAAGGTAAAAGCTCCCCAGATGCCTCCAGCCGAGGCAGAAAGTCGGCGGCCGAGGCTCCGGATATGCCGCCAGCACCTCAGCTGCGCCAACTTTCGAGTCTGTTTTCGGGGAGAGTGGGTGGTGGCGGTGGGGTGAGCAGGGTTCGGGCCCGCCTGGCAGGTCCCCCTCGGGCCCTCCACGAATCCCCCCGCCCGGGCCCCGCTCACCTCCAGAAGCGGGTGGGCTCGGACGAGGTCCCCGGCGGACTGCGGCAGCCGCACTCGCCGCCCGTCGACCAGCAGCGGCATCACGGAGGCGGCCGCCCGGGCAGGCCCAGGGAGGCGGCGGCCTCCTCGCCGCCCCCGCCCTGGGGCCGCCCCTCCTCGTCCCGCCCCGCCCCGCCCCGCCGCGGGCGCCGCCGGGAAGTGTAGTCCGAGGAGACGGCGCAGCCCCGAGAGGTTGAGGAAATCTATAGTGTGGGCCGCAAGGCCCCATGGGAAGTGTAGTCTAAACGTGAGGTGCGCGGCCAGCCTCCTTCGCAAGGGGCGCTGGGAAACATAGTCCTGAAAGCGTGAAGATGTAGAGGGGAGCTGCGCTTAGGGGAGCCTTCGTTCTCAGCTCGGTAGCTCGGTTCACAGATCAGTCAACCTAGTCTGAATGCGGGGCCTGGGGCGGACCGCCTCGTTTCACATCACGGCTTGACCACACATATCGTGATGCTGAGCAAGTTATCCGAGTTGGGGCACCTGCCGTGCTGCTCCGTGTAGGACTGGATTCAGCAAACCGTCTTAAACTGAAAAAGAGAGCCCCACACATTTGGAACTCAGTAACACTTGGCATCCAGTAGGCACTCACAGATGGGTAAAAAACCCTCCGAGTAAATATCAGCAAGATATCCTCCTGAGGATAGGTAGGTACCCTGGTGTTGAGGCTGGGGTTTATTCGAAAAGTTGGAAATATTACTCAAATAGATCCAACTCCACAATACATCAGCAAAGAATAATTTAGAAAAAGAGCGGTGAGATGAAGAGGAGCCACCTCATGCAGAGCAAAAACTATGAGAACGTCATCATCTATATTCCACCACCTCTCCGTTTTCTGAAACTCCCAGGGGGATTCTAGGGCAATAAGCGTTAAGAACCAACATCATAAGCAGTGCCTGGGAGGGGGAGCACTCTGTCCCTCCCTCTCCAGTTGAGAATGTGGATGAAATGGAAGTTATATTTGTCTTGAAAAGTGCTTCCTGCTTAACCAGACTTTCTCACCAGGTAGCCAAACAGCTATTAACTGACATTACATCCATTTTCATTGAACTCTCACAAACCCTACAGTATTATTTCCACTTTACAGCTCAATAAAAGTGGAGCTGTGAGAGCACAGGTCACAAACCTCATTAGAAAAAGAAGCCACTTCTCATTAAAGACCTAACCATAGCAGACAGACAAAAGGATGGAGCATGGTTCTCTAACTGAAAGTCTGCTTTTCAATTAAGGACAGAAACTCCCTTATTTTCATATAATTCCCAAAGAGATTTCACTATTTTTTTCCCCAGAGATGTTCCTTCAAACCATGTATATTGTTTTAATAAGTGTTCGTTTTCCTTGGCCCAGTCCAAGCTTCAGTGTAGGCTGGGTGTGATCAAGGAGAGCGACCGACATGTCAGATGCACCTGGAAGCCATTCTCATTACCAATATGCAATTTATTTTTGAGCACTTGCAATCATAATAGCAATACTTTTGCCTCTTGAATAGTGAAGTCTCAGTTGCAGCTTTCCACTGCAAAATGGCGCTTTAATAAAGATCAGTAAAAAAAGAAAAAAAAGAAAGCAAAAGAACATTTGTATGAGAAGGCTCTTTATTGGGGTACCTCCCTTTACTGGCATTAGAACAAGAGTTCCATGTCATTATTTTATTTTCACAATGGATTTTTTTCTCAAGCTCCTTTGAAATTAAATACTTATTTATAAATACAGCCCTCTACCTTAGAGCTACTTTCCAACCCACAAAAGCCCAACATTGATATTAACTTCTATGGACACATTTCATGTACTCATTTTATCCAGTATACAAAAATCCCACTTTTTAGTCAGCAGTTAAAAAAAACAGAGACCCTAAAGGTTCTCAAATGACTTTCCACCAAGTCACCAAAAGAAAATCACCAGTATCCAAAACTGTGTAAAGCCAATAAAAATTTGTTTTCCAAAAATGTATTTACAGACCGAAATCCAAACTCTGCATTGCCGTCAATATAATTATACAAGAACATACAAAGCCCTAAGAAAGTCAAAGTATTTCATTACAAAATATCTGTGATCCAGAAAATATTACTTGCCTTTAAATAAAAAAAATTGGAAAAGTGGCAGAAAAATAAATATGTTTAAAGATGTCCATTTTCATAAGTAATGAAAAAGTACACAAATAAAGAATGAAGCTAAAATATGCATGAGCTTCAAAATAACTTGAGTGGTGCTTGCATAAATTGGTTATAAAGCAAGGTAGTTTAGACTCCTGTCTTGGTGTTTAGTTATAAAAATACAAAAAGAACCTGGCCAGAGGAGGAATCCATGATAGAACAGCCAGGAGACAGACACTGTAGCTGTAACAGCGGCCTGTTTGTGCCAGCAAAACCATTCCAACACGAAAGCTAAAAACCGCCCCTGCCCGCCCCAAGAAATTCGCAAACTGAGAACTGGTCAACTGATTATAGTAAAAGAACAACAAATCAATGTAACATTCCATTACAAACAAGTAGTTCCAGTTCTCACAGCATCTTGGGAGCCTCAGGACGGGAGTTACATTTACCTGGAACTCCATTTGTACTCACGAGTGTATGAGTTCTGTCTGACTGTTTCCCTAAATCCTCTCTTCCCTCCAGGCTTTTATTGGTCTCTGACATCCCTGGCGATCCTCCTCGGTACCAGCTCCAACTTTCAGCGGCTGGGACTAGCTCCGGCCATCTCCCCACTTTCCTGTCTTCTCGGGACCCCACTGAAATCCCAACACAAATGCAGTTCCAGCAGAAGGTAAACAATGGATCTGAAACACACTCATTCTACAGACTTTAAATAGTGTCTTGGATGATTTTCACAGAAGTCAGATCAGCAAAGTCCTGTGACCATGGCTCTACCAAAACCCGTGTTAAAAATGCAATTTGTTAAAATAGGCTTTTGCTGATCTCAGAAATTTCACAATAATTATGTCAAAAAGCTGTAACATACAATAAAGCATACATTAAATAAGCCACACCTTCAACATTTACCATCAACTCCATTGTAAAATATTGCACATGATACTCAGTCTTTTCCTTTTGTCTGTACAGGAGCAAAAAGAAAAAAAACACCTCATCTGTTCACACGCTCGAGCGAGTCTAACTTGAAAGGAAGCTGTGGAGGTGGGTACTCGCTCTAAAGTGATGTGACACTCAGACACTATGAGCCCTGGTACTGAAGGGGCGACGGGCAGGAATGTGGTCTCAATCACAAATCCTCGCAATCAGAGGGGACTGGTCTGGCAGGTATAACACGGGTGGGGAGCCCACACTACTTGAAGGACTTCGGAAATGTGTGTCAAAGGAGCTCGGTGTAATCCCAACTTCGCCTTTCAAAAAGTCATCATCTTCATCTTCTAGCACCTCCTGTCAAAAAAACAGATTATCAACAGGATCATTCAGTGGTGTGAAAAGCTTCCAAGAATTCCTTTCCTCAGGAATGTGCTACTTCTGGAAAGGTGAGGAAAATACTGTGATTTCAAAAGCTTCCTCTGATGCTTAATTCTTGAATGAAACACCCACACAAATGTTCATCACACACTGTCACTGTTTAAAGTCTAATTTTTAAAACAGATTTTAAGCTCAATGAGGGCCGGTGACATGATATGTCCTTCTCACTCACTATTATAATCCAACACAATGTGAATGAATGACCTCCCCCCTTCAAATGCAAAAAAAAAAAAAAAAAAAGAGCTTTCCAATGATTACTTATGAAAAAGGAAACAGGCACATTAAAGCTGACTTTTAATGTGGAAATAAACATGCCACAAAGAAACGAAGAGCTATTTACTGGATTCTAATTTTCTTCTCTGGCAGTAACTGCCTTACCTGGCCCTAAAGTCCACTGGAGGATATGCTGCAGGCTCGCATTTTTGCCACCTGTTCAAGATCTACAAAATCAATGTTAACTTCTACGAAATTTTAATGTTACTTATAATGTGAACACAAGTAAATCTTAGATTGTTTCCTGGTGGTAACGATCAAGTGGTAAAGATGTAAATTTGGGGGCCTGATTTTCAATTAACCTTCACATCCCAAAGTCAGTGTGTGAAGTATCTGGTTTAAACAACTCATCAAAAAAACCCCTGCAAACTCTTCATAAGAACAGAACCTGAGCTTGGAATTTTGTAAAAGCAGAAAGAATAAAATGTCATATTTTTTTCAGTATAACATTGCTACCTACTATTTATTTGACTGTGATCTGTAACCACACAGGACAGTCTCAGAAAATGTGCTGAACCACAAATTTACCTTTTTAATGGGTTTCTTAAACTCCTGCAGCTCTTCTGCACTCATGTCTTCCCATATCTGATAAATAGGGTCAATGAATTTCTTTGACCTGTCAGCAAAGATCACATTTCAAAATGAACTTAAATACAACAGCAAAGGTCAGACATATTTAGTTCTTTCCCCACAAGACCTATTACCCAAAAGGAAGTGAAAACTATGGCTCAAATAATAATGGTGTCAAAAAATACTACATGTTAAGTTCTGTAATTAATGCGGCTCCTTCTCTGCAAGAGTTCACATACTCCTACAGATGGGGTATCACACCTACTGTTTCTGCACCCCGCGTAGACGGACAATGAGTTGTAAGGTGTCCAATGAAACTAAATTACATTATTCTGGAGTATCCTTTTTTACTCGTATATTTCTACAGCAATTTTCTAAAAATAAGTCTGGGAGAAAGACCAATCTGGTTTTAGTCAACCAAGACTCAGGGGACCAAATAATCCCAAATTGCTGTGTTGTTACTAAGAAACTAATAAAGCAAAAATGCTGCTTCCTTCTACAAATGCCAAGTTAAGACTGGCTTGGTGGTTTTTCAGAATTACCCATCGAGATAAATCTTTTGGCTTTCGTTTATCCTGTGCAACAGTATGGGATGTGGTCCCTGGAGGAAGGAAGAAGTTGCTGGGAAGAAAATTATGAGCCATGAAAAGAGAGCATCCTTCCTATCGGGGCATCTTTATCTCCACCCCCTTATATGTTTAAACCAATAGGTTTAAAGCAAAACAAAAAACAAACAAAAGACCCCTCGGTGTCAACCTGGGTTCCTACTGGTGGGGTGAAGACCTGCGAACCCCAGTGCGCTCTGACACTGCACAGCCTCTAACAGGCGTTGTCAACCTTGAGCCTGTGAAATATGTACAAGGAGACCGTGACACTAATCATGGCTGGGAATGGCCACTTAGAACAAAGAAACCCTAAATCCCAATCTTCGGAGAAGCAAACACACGCTGCATTCAAATTCACCACTGACAGGTGGACGAAGAGCATCTACCTCTTAAGCACACAAGGGTCGAAGGGGAAGAAGGTGTCAAGTGGGTTTGTGCAGGTTTGCACCGAGTCCCCTCCAGCTGTATTTCTAATAACTGGGAGCATCTGGCGATTGTTCCTTTCAATGATGGTGTAACAGAAGACGAGCTGGTATTTACTGTGGAACAAGAACCAACACAGACCGAGGTGTTAGCATGGTGAATGACTCTGCACGGACATGCGGGTTCATGCATGGCTACTACACTGATCACAGATACTGCTAAATATAACAAGCGTGAGAAAAAAAATTACATAAAGCAGAAAGTAATGCTCTTAGATTTTAGAGTATGGTTCTCTGGGCCTACTATTTACAAGTCTGCGAAGGAGAAAGAAAATGTGGCTACCACTTTAAGAAAATAAGAGGGGGCTTAGGTTATGAATATGCATGACTCACTAAAATTAATGTGTTCAAGAGAAAACTCTTTTAGTTTGCAAAAAGCACACAGCTGTGTTTACTTATTTATACTATTTGTAGAAGAACTAGAAGGTGAGTGAAAAGAAACTCGGGTTTTACTGGGAGACCGCGGTTGATGATGGAGAGATTTGGCTGTTGAAGAAATGAGGACGGTACTCAGAGGGGTGTGGGACGGCTGAGTCACGATCTCAGAAAATGGTAAAGAAAGAAACAGGCGTTAAGTAAGTGAAAGCAGTTAACTAGACTGAAGAACTCATGATAAACAAATAATAGGACCACTATACTGTCAGTTCTTCTGGTGGTCACCTCCACGTGACTTGGCAGCTTTAATTAGTATTGGACGGCTTCTCTGAGGATTTAGCTACTTCAGCCAACCACCTCCTACCCTCAGTATTCATTCAGGTATATCTTCTCAGGGTCTCCGGTCACTATTGTAATTTTAAGCACCATACGTCTATTATTTCTGTTCCAGCAGCCAAAGATCTCACTTGACTCCCTCCTCCTGGTGGGAGGGTAAACTGGCAAAACCACGCTGGAGAAGTTTGCAAAATCTGGCCAAGGTGACGATGTGCATCTCCTACAATACAGCAGCTGCAGGGCCTCTGGGTGACAGAGATGCGTGTCTGCTGCCAGGGCACACACACAACCATGTCCCTAAGCTGCTGTTCCCAATACTGAAAAACACACATAGCTGAAGTCCCAACAAAGAATCAATTAAAGAAATTAATAGAACACTACACAGCAGTTAAATCAACATACAGCTGTATGAGTCGATATGGATCTCAAAACCATTAAGTAAGCAAAAGCAGCGGCAACAAAAGGATACACAGGTTCCTTGACACAGACCTTTGTTTCAATTTCTTGCTCCTAAGCTCATATCTCACTCCTAATGTTCGTTGCTAACCTCAACCCCAAATCTAGAGCCTCTCTGCCCAGTCTGCTCAGCAACTACAGCCCCCTACTCCCACCGCAAGAATATTCTAGGGAGCAGCTGCCTCTGCTTCGCTTCCTCCGTCCTTCACTTCCGGCTGCTTCCTGTCTGCCCAATGTGCTGGTGCCTTTCACTCACTGGACACTATTGCTGGTTGGTTTCTTTACTCCTTTTAATTCTTTATCATTTTTGAGATCTCAGGAGAGAGAGAATGCCTTGAACTAGATGCTCAGTAAAGGAAAAAGAAGGCAGCTGAACAAGAGCAGCAAGCTTTCTAGAGGGAACCCAGGGATGAAAGATTTTTAACTTAGAACACTACAGACTCTTATCTGTTGAAGATTTTAAGCTATGATCCTGCCCTGAATATCCTGAGACTAAATGCCCACGGTCTCCAATTCACGTTCCCCACAAGGAAGAATAATTCAGGGAATGCTTACGGAAGAGCCAGACTGCCTGCACTCAAGTCTGAGCTCTGCCCCGTCAAGCTATGACTTTACAGAAATCATTTCATCTCTCTGTGCTTCCAGCTTCCTATTTATAAACAGGGGTTAATAGTACAATCATAAGATTGTGTGAAATTTCAGTGAGTTCTATGTGAAGTACTTAGAACTGTGCCAGCACACAGGGAAACTACGCATTAGCTATAGATAATACTGTCCCTCACTAAACCAACTCGTACTGTTGGAGCTTTATCTCATGTCCAGTCTATTTTTACTACTATTATAGGAGTTACTCTAGTAACACCTCTGGTCTGTACCCCTTAGCTTACTAGTTGCCTTGCTTATTTCAAAGTGCCTAGGCTTCTGTTGAATTATCCTCTCTGGATAAAAATCAGCAGCAATTTCCAGCGCCACCAAAGTATTAAAACAACAGCCGCATTTCAGTGTTTCCTGCAAGTATTGGGTTATTAATTTTTAAATGTTTGTTATTAACAGATTTTATTGAGTAACTTCACAGACACTTAATGAAATTTTACAATATCAATAGTAATGCAAATTTACATCACTTCTGCCAATAAAGTACAAATAACTCACCTTGTAATTGCGGCAAAGAAGTTAACCACCGAGGGCAGGCAAATCTTCAGCGGGTTTAGCTGACTCATCACTATACGTTCAAAATTTAGACTTTGAAGGTACCTCAAACCTTTCATTAAAAAAGAAAAGACTTTTTAAAAGGTACAAAGTTAAGTCTTTAAGCAGCACAGATTATTTCACACATTAAAAACTAAAGACTTTAAAAGTGATTTGCAGAAATGCTTTAAATAAAGGTCCACGTAGACACCACACAGTGTAGAGCCCAGAAGAACGTGGTGGGGCTTAACCACGCTCATCTAGGATTACTAAGCCAACTTTTCTACAGAAAAGAGTTTATTCTTTTCAAGACCCAGGAAGTAAGCACACATTCCTAGAGGGCTTTAAGCTTGTATGACAATTTGAAATTCAGACACATGTAAGCTCAGCACATGCCGAGTTTATAGAGGAAAAAAAAAAAAAGAACATGTGATTTGATTTCAGGAAACAATCATGAACGCTAAGAAAGATGAGGCAAGGCCGGCCGAGTGGCGTGATGGTTAAGAACTGGCTTGGGATGCCAGAGGGCCCCGGTTCGGATCCCACATATGAGGGCCAGTGACACTGCCCTCTGCAGCTAAGATGCTGCACAACAGCTCAACCTGGAGCTGGGTTGCCATGAGTCGCCGGCGACGGCGTGGGCTGCAGTCCCTGTGGCAGTGGGTTGTCATGGGCTGCCGTGTGTAGCCAGCAGCCAGCGTGAGCGGCCAGCAGCCGCAGTGAGCGGCTGTCCAGAAGCCGGTGACTGATCTGCCTCGCCCGGGAAGAGTGCAATGATGGTGCCAACTTGGGCCAGTGAAGCAACGTCCTTCACAACTAGATTGAAGAACAAAACGACAGCAACTTGTCTGTTCCCCTTCCCCCAATTCCCCAGTGCTGTTCCCATTCCGTTCCCATTCCCCTAATTCCCCAATAAAAATCTTTAAAAAAAAAAAAAAAAAAAAAAGAAAGATGAGGCAAAAAAAGTGAGTCTCCATTGCCTGGAGGTAATGACTGCACAGTGTGGACATTTCTCCTTCCTGAATTTCATTTAGTGTGAGTGTGTGAGTATGAGTGTGTGTGTGTGTGTCCCAATCTAACAAGCAAACAAAAAAACAGCAAGACTAACATATCTTAATTAGTAAAGTTGAGCATGTTTTTAAATGTCCTTAGTTGTTTGTATTTCATTTTCTTTTTACAAGGAAACTATAGATGTAGAAGGAAAAATCAGACAGACTCCACTGTCTTAGAACTATTAAGTATAATTCTCGCCTATTTAGTAAAAGACAGGCATTGCACTTATTGTAAGAGGCAAGCAAACCAACTTGTGGTTAAGTATATTTTAAGAGATTCGTTGATGTATGTTTTGATAAAAATGATTACAAGTGGGATAAATGTCATGGCTTACAAGAAATATATCCTCTTTAACCAGACTCTTACCATTTATTTATACAAAGAAAGGCAGAAATTTTACTTACCTTGTGATAAAACCTTGTCCTACTACTAGTTCATATGGCTAACTTTAATCCCCACATCTTTTTTAGAAGGACACACGATATAATATATATAATGCAGCACATACAAGTTTCAGTTCAGAGCTGTGGTTCTCAACTCTAGCTCACTGTGCCCCCAAGAGGACATCTGGCAGTGTCTGCAGACAGCTTTAGTTGTCACGACAGAGGGTGAGGAGGGGTGCTGGTAGCACCTAGTGGGGAGAGGGTGAGGGGTGCTGCTAACCACCCCATGAGACAAAGGCAGCCCTCCCAACAGAGGATTACCCAGTCCAAATGTCAGTGGTGCGGAGGTTGAGAACCTCTGGTCTAGAGGAAACAGCCTATTAAACCATTTGAATTATTCATGACAGTAAAAAAAAACACCAATTTAAATTACCTGAACATTATTCTTGGGGACTATCTACAACTAAAATACACTAACCCAATAAACAAGCTTCATCGGGTAAATTTAAATGATCAACAACCCTTAGAAATGAGCAAAATTGAAAGCGAGCAAATTAACTCAAGTCTTTAAATGCACATAGTCATTATGACTGCAGCTCTACAGCCTGGTATCAATTTCGAACACTGCCAATAAATTACTTCCATGTGCGTTGGTCGCCCCTGTCAAGTGGGAATGACACCTGCCCTCACAGGGCTGTCACAAGGACAAGGAGGAGTGAACATGGCACTGGCACAGGGCAAGTGCTCAGCCTCGCCTCTGAAGAAGTGTCCTTACAACTACTGTAGCTAACACCCTCTAAAGTGGGGGTTCTCAACTTCATCTCCATCAGCTATTAAGAAAAGGCATATCGAGGCCGGCCGAATGGCTCAGCTGGTTAAACGCTCGCTCAAGAGTGCGAGCTCTGAGCAACAGGGTCGCCAGGTTGATTCCTGGCCCGAGCTGAGCTGCCACTGAGCTGCCAACAGGTGGCGGGATGGCTCAGCGAAGAAAAAAAAAAAGAAAAGAAAAGGCATATAGGCTGCTTGAAATTATTTATAAAAGTTTGAGTGCATGTGTGGTTTCTGACCCCACAGTTTTCACCAAATTCTCAAAAAATAATTCTTTTAGAATTTTAGTCTGTGTTCTAAACGGTGCCTAGTACACAAGGAAAGCCCAGTTCACAACCAGCAGTCCCACATCACTGACCTTCCTTCAGGTTTCCACTTAAAAGCTGCTTGTGTCGAAAAACAAACGTGTAGAAGACAGCTTGGCAGGCTGAGTAAAACGGACCGTGGAGAGCAACATCACAAAATGCCTTTGTTCCCGAATCCTGGTTATTAAGGTAGATGTGCAGCCAGTTAACCAAAAGATCTAGGCATGATTTTACAGTGCTAGAGGAGAAAAGAAAATCAAAGTCAATTCCACTGGCTTCATAAAAACAACAGTGACGTAAACACACACAAATGCCTCGCATTACACACTTGTAGAGGTCAGTCCATAGGCTTCTTTATATATTATCCGTGGACACAGTGGAGAAGCAAAGGATGGAGAGGGTGGTTGGGTGGGAAGACGGCCTTCCAATTACAAGGCAGAACACATGAACCTCCTAGGAACAACAGGCAGGCCTGAAGGCTGCCCCAGGTCCCAAGGGATGGAGAACAGCGTCTCCTTCCAGGCCTCTTAGGGGGATACAGCCAAAGGATAGGGCGCATTTACCAACATCTTACAGAGTAAGACAGTCACCATTCTCTACGGGATTCTGATGATGTCCCATGTCAACAATTTAGGACAGAATGGCCAGGCGACTTTTAGCTGTTGGGAAAAGATTTTTTTTGGGGGAAAGATTTTTAACAGCCTCCATGCCCAAAGGTATCTTATTGGATCGCTGGAATAAAAAGGCCCAGAACTGACCTCCTACACAGATCTTTCTATTACCTTTAAAAGGACTTTCCCTTCAGCTTTAACAGACACGATTCAGAATGCAAATGAAAAATGACAAACCTATAAAAAGAATTAAAACAGTACACAACACTGCACGCTACCCATGGAGACAAATGGATCTTCCTATTCAAGTGCAACCATATAAAATACATTGAACAAAGATTTACGTATGAGATTTGTATCTAAACAAGGAGACATTTTATTCTGAAATTGCCTCTTGCAAATACAAACATCTTGCAGAGAGTGGGGAAACAGATTTTTTTCACTTTAAAGACAGACCAAAAAAAAAAGGCAGCTATTTCTCTGACTTAAGACAGCGTTATAATCTTTTTAAAGCATGATACAAAAAAGCACTTAGAAAATTAGGTTACTTACATAAGAGGAATAAATTTAGCTCTTGCTAAAAGGCTTCCAATGTAATTTCCAGCAGCTTGCCGAATGACAGCAGGATTATTCGGATCCTGCAATTTTTTCCAGAGATGTTCCAAAAATGCTTCTGCGAATCCCTATAACAAGAGAAGGTGTTGGTCTGATCTTCCTTACTGCTTAAGACAGTCTAGCTATCAGAGCCCTAAGATTTGAACTCACCAATGTGGGCAAGTCCTAGTGTTTCAGTTACATTGCTAGATAATGGATCATGTTTTTTTTTTTGTTTGTTTTTTTTTAGCTGAGCCATCCTGCCACCTGTTGGTAGCTCAACGGCTGCTCAGCTTGGGCTGACTCGAACCGCTGTTGCTCAGAGCTCAAACTCTTGAGCGAGCTCTTAACCAACTGAGCCACTCAGCCGGCCCTACATTGCTAGATAATGAATACAGTTACTGAGGCTCTTATTTTTAAAACACCCCGACATAACACTATTAAACACAAAAGGCGTCCCTGTGTTTAATAATCCAATAGATCCCCAAACCAGCTGAGCATTGAAACCACCCTACAGGTTCACTAGGTTTGTGACAAGGGCTTTGCAATCCGCCTATTTTAAAAGCTCTACAAGTGATTCTGACGTTTAGCCAGAGCTGGAAACCAGTGATGATCCACACTCACGGGAACCCCTCCCACAGGACCTCTGAGTGTAAAGGAGCCTTCCAGTGTTTGACTGCACACACTGAAGTTCACCAGAAACAGGAACATGGATTCAAGTACAGTCGGTGCTTGCTTAATTATGTTAATGATAGAAAATTATAATTTTCTATATAATTATGATTATAGAAGATGAGTAAGCTTCTTTTTAACAAAGGATAGGCTCCAATTTCTGCCAAATAGCTCTTTTCAAAAGCTATTAACACATACTTTGACGTAGAAGGGCTTGAAACTTCTCACCCCTGACGAATACACTCCTGACTGTTCCTGGAAGCTACAAAATAGTTGAAAAGGAGAACAGTCTCCGGTAGGTTTTGTTTTTTTCTTTTCAAAATAGAAAGCCAAAGCCTAGAAGTTTAATTCTGGATTGAAAAGTTGGTTTGGGCTAGCTAGGATCAACTGAGAGAGAATAAAGGAAGTAAACAGTTAAAGATCCCATATGAGATTTTAACAGAGAAAAGGCATGAATGAAAGGGGAGAGTACCGCCTAGAAGGCCAAACTCAGGATGACAATTTCAGAGCACGTGACTAAGCTGGCAGGCAGTAGCAATGCCCTCTGCTCTTTCCACCAATTTTTAAGAGAACATTGTGGGTGAGAATAAAATGAGCTAAGATAACGTTAATGACATACTCACCAATTTAAAGCTACAGAGATAAAACATGAAAAACTGTACATGGCAGGAGGCATGGGTGGGCAGCAGGAGTTTGTCAAAGATGGTTATGAGATCGCGATATAAATCCTTTGTTTTGTTGATATCAATCTTACCTGGTTGAGAAAATGTGGCATTTCAGTTTTATAAATACATTATTTTCAAGCTACCAGCTTTATTTACCAAATTTTAAAAAGAAAACAATACCCGTAAGAAATACAACCTCACCCATTAAGCTATAGTTAAAACAAAATGCCATTTTTATTCTGTACAGGTTTTTGTTTTAAGTGTAATCTCTCACCTCACATACACTGCTAGGATGCCATAAAATGTGAACCCTTCGAAAGGGCAATCTTACAACATATGAGAAAAAAGTCCTTTGATCCAGTAATTCTACTGCTAGGAATTTATCAAAGCAAATACTGAATGTCTATGTACAAAGATGTTCACTACACTGCTATTGATAATGGTGGGTGGGGGGAGAAAAAATAAGAGACCAGTTAAATCCATATGTTCAATAGCAACTACTTTAGAACAGTAAATGGTATGAGAAAATGTTCACAACAGGTGAAAATGGTGGATTATGAAAATTACACATAGTGTGACCACCTAATGCACAGAAAAGTGCTCATACATATGCACATGCTCACAGAAAAGAAAAAAACATACCAAAATGCTAATAATTTATCTCTGACTAGTAGGAATGCGGCCATTTAAAACGACATTTTTAACCTTTTCCTGTAATTTCCAAATTTTCTTTAGTCAACATGTAGAATTTTTCTAACAGCACAAAAAATTGTTACGTAGTCAACTCAGTTTCAAGTCTTAATCTGAGGGGCTAAGTTTCATTCTTAAATTTAAGCAACGTGAATGGAAAAAATGCTGTTTTTTCATGGCAAAGCCTCTAGACAAAAAGCTGCACGGTTTCGTACCAACCACAATCACAGTATTAAGACCCTCAAATCGCAATACGTCATACCAGGCACCAGGCATCAGTGTGTACCGCGCCATTCCTGAACATCTTGACCTTCAGTGCATTATGATCACCTAAAACTGACCAAACTCCATATACAATGTTTTAATACAATAGTCAGTGAAAAGGTTAGGGACTTTGAAGACAAATATAGCTGAGCCTGAATCTCACGGCCAATGTTTTCAAGCTATGTCACATTGGCAAGTAACACTCTCTCTCTATGCCTTCTTTTCCTCATTTTCAAAATAGTGATTTTTTTACATGATTTCTATCAGTACTAGAGAATGTATGAAAAACACCCAGCACAGAGCCAGGTGCACAGCAGGTGTTCAACGGGCAGTAGCTATTGTGACTATTGTAGGCGGTTACCATCTACATAGCAGACATCCTTAATGTAGGACAAAAGTAAAGACAGCAGGATGTCCAGGCGTTCAGCAACAGGATGTACCATCCGATCAAGCATCTCGGGATCAGCCTTTGTTTCGTGTTCAGTTTCTTCATCTTCATCCTTTGAAGATAATATAAAATTTGATATTAAAAATTCAGCAAAAGTAGTCCAGTGGGAAAACAGTCAAGAGGTGATTATTTCCTTTAAAAGGTAAAACAAAGAAGTGCATATGCACCATTCCAGGAAGGGGCTTTCAACCAGAGGTGTGAAATCAGAACCACTTGTGGAGTACAAAATGAAAGCTCGGGTTCAGAGCGCCAGCCTCCAGTTCTCATCTAGAAGACCCACACAGAGCATGGCCATGCAAACATCACAGATTTCCGCACGGCCTGGCACCCACTGTGGTGGGCACTGTTGGGGCCAGGTCTCCTTTTCCAGGACAGGGAACCGATCCTCCAGCTGCTATGAGTGTTGGGTGCCAACAGCTCCCAGATACCTCCTTCTCCAGGGAACTGTCCTCACCAGACCAGGAGCCAGAACTGCCCTTGCACTCCTAGCCCCGCCCCCTCAGAACTATGACTGCTTGACACGGGTCACCAAAGGCCGTCTCCTTGGTCTGAAGCTGGGACCCACTCTATTCCAGAGCTGCTGGTGGGATCAGGTTCAGCTTCCAACTGAGACCAAGCTCTTGCTTAGGTCCTTCCCCTGCTCTTTCCTACTTCTGCACACCCTTGTCCACAGGGCATCCGAATCCCCATCTTGGCTTTCCTCCCAGTGAACCCAACTTAAGACATTGCCCTAGGTAGAGAAGTACTGCATTAGGCATACAACTTGTGAAATACAGAAAGTAAACTGGAATGCTCTTCTCTTTATCACTCCCTCACAAACTGTATGCAGGTTACACAAACACACAAAGAACAAAAGGATGAATCACAGTGCAACATACTTGACTCAAGCCAAATTCAAAGCCTTGGAAATAAACCAACACGTGGCAGAAAGCAACATGGCAGCAAACCACTTCATTTAAGAAACCATTTTCAAGTTTGCTGAACTACTGTTCATGGAAAGCCTGGAAGATGAGGCGCATTAGCTGTGTCTTCCCACCCTCTGGCATGAACTATGACCCCCTGCTTTCACTAATAAACACTGACCATGTTAAACAGTCCTTCTGTGGCATCTGTTCCACTACTGGTTTGAGCTGCTATTTCCTCAGCATCTTCAATGTCCTGCCGGGATGCACTCACCTACATTATGACAAAGAAAAAGAGAAAAGAATAAAACACTTAAAATACAACTATTAATACATTTTGGAGGGACTGGAAATTCATCTGATACACATACTTTAAAGGTGCCCAGATGAGCACCGTATGTAGCACTGTACCGCATTCCACAATTAAGGTGCAAACCCATAAATTGCTCTGGTTCATGAAGCAACTTATGAGAGTATAAATCAAGGCCCTTTACTAGATATTTCTATAAAATCACTAAGAACTGATGTGTGTTAGTCTAAATCGGACAGCATCCACAAACTCATCATTTACTCTAAGTCTCACCATGCACAGGACACTCACATACGTGTTGTACAAGCCTATCTGCAACTCTTCCTGGACTTGCCTCATTACAGCCTCCATCTCCCTTCATCAGTGTTCTCCATCCACTCATCTCCTCAGTCCACAAACCTCATCTCTTCAACCCTAAGATGCCTTACTCCACCTCATCCCCTCTTTACATCACCAACTTTCACCAAGGTCTCCAACAGCCCCACTTCCTAACCATCCACGTTCCCTCCTGAAAAGCAGTGTCCCCCTTCACATTGACAAGGCAACAGACTACCTCCCACACCACCAAGTCCAACGACTTTCCTTTTCTTTCTCCTTAAAAATGTCGGCAATATCTCATGCTGCTGACCAAACCCTTCCTTCTTCCTGACCCTCCCTGCGTATTCACACTCTCAGTTTTCCTCCCACTTCTGATCTACTTCCTCTTTCCTGTCCTAAACTGCATCATTGCACAGGTTTGTACTCAGTCCTCTACCTGCAGCTACACCTGCCTGTGAATATTTGCCATCTAGCTCCCCCACCTGTACCTCCATCCATCCAAAATGGAGCTCATCTCCTTCCATCTTCCTCCTGACTTTTCTTACTACTGTTAATGGCAACTGCAAGATTCTTTTCCACAGGGAGCCACCTTTGAACGATTCCTTTTCTGTTTCCCCCACTTCTCCACTTCCAACTCAGACTCGAGCACCGGTTCACTTTTCCTCCACAACGCCCCTAGAGCTCACCACTTTCTTCATTCCCACAGAACCTTACTACAGGCCTCTTTAAGAAAAGCTAGAAAGGGGCCGGCCGAGTGGCGCGATGGTTAAGAGCTCGCTTGGGATGCCAGAGGGCCCCGGTTCGGATCCCACATATGAGGGCCAATGACACTGCCCTCTACAGCTAAGATGCTGAACAACAGCTCAACCTGGAGCTGGGCTGCCGTGAGTTGCTGGCGACAGCATAGGCTGCAGTCCCTGTGGCAGTGGGTTGCCATGGGCTACCGTATGTAGCCAGCAGCCAGCGTGAGCGGCCAGCAGCCGCAGTGAGCGGCCAGCAGCCGCAGTGAGCGGCTGTCCAGAAGCCGGCAACTGATCTGCCTCGCCAGGGAAGAGCGCAATGATGGTGCCAACTTGGGCCAGTGAAGCAGCGTCCTCCACAACTAGACTGAAGAACAAAAAACGACAGCAACTTGTCTGTTCCCCTTCCCCTAATTCCCCAGCACTGTTCCCATCCCCCCCAATTACCCAATAAAAATCTTTAAAAAAAAAAAGAAAAGCTAGAAAGAACGTCAACATGACTTCCTTAGGAATGCCTTCCTGACTCCTTCTGGTTACATGAGGTTTTCTGGCTCACAGTGATGCATGTGTTCCATTCACAGCCCTCACCACACTTTACATTGGTGAGACTGACTAATTCATGCCTTGTTCCCCAACCAGGAGCGACAGGGCTGTTTATAACTCCCATGGGGCACATCAATGAACTTCAAGAAATGTACAAAGAGATGAATCAAAAGTGGAACTCATTTCCATTGTTGCTACTGTTGTTTTATACATACTACGATTATAACAAATTTAGAAAAAGATTATTAAATACTTACATCCAACTTGAGTAGCTTTTCAATGACAAGCTCCAGAATTTCATGCCTCAAGATTGGAAAGTACACACTAATCCTTAGTAAGTTATGAACATAACATTCCTAAAACATAGAAAGATAAACATTTAAACAGAGAATAAATGTCTCATAGTTATGTAAGCAAAGCATCAATTACACAGTCTTTAGTCCAAATTGTTTAAACATAAATAACAGGTTATCCAGTAACAGAGAAACCATGCTGTTTATATAGTCTGCTGCCACGTCAATGTGGAGGGGAAAACTGCAGTAGGGTATAATCAATCTAATTACCTCAAGAAATTAAATTTATAATGTATATGCTTCTACAGTGTTTTTGAAACCAGGATTGTTGAGATATAATTTATATACATCTCACCCATTTAAAGTGTACAATTCAATGGTTTTCAGTTTATTCAGAGTTCTGCAACCATCATCATAATCAATTTTAGAACATTTTTATCACCCTAAAAAGAAACCCTTTATCTTTTAGTAGAGTACCTCCCCCCAGCCCTAAGTAATCACTAGTCTATCTGGCTCTATGAATTTGCCAATTCTAGACATTTCATATAAGTGGGATCTTAAAATATGTGGTTTTAGCATGTTTTCAAGATTCACTCATGTTGTAGCAAGTAAACCATTCCTTTTAATGGCCAAATAATCTTCCATTGCATAGACGCTCCACATTTTGTTTATTCATCAGCTGATAAACATTTGGTACTTTCCATATTTTGGCTATCATGAATAATGCCACTGTGAACATGCATGTCAACTTTGGGTGACCATGTTTTCATTTCTCCTGGGTGTACACCCAGCAGTGGAAATGTTGGGTCATGCGGCAATTTTTTGTTTAACATTTTTAAGGCACTGTCAGTCTATTTTCCAATGCAGCTGAACCAGTTCCTGTTTTACATTCCTGCCAGCATCGGATGAGGTTCTGACTTCTTCACCTCCTCACCACCACTTGTTACTATTGTTCTGAGTACAGCCATCTTAGTAGGTGCCATGTGATATCTCACTGGGGTTCTGACTTGCACTTATTTCCCTGTGGCTACTAGCTTTTCACATGCTCATTGGCCATTTGTGTATCTACTTTGGAGAAATACCTATTCAGATGTTTTGCCCATTTTTAAATTGAGTTATTTGCCTTTTTATTATTGAGTTATTAAGCGTTATTTATATATTCTAGATATAACCTCTACCCAATGAATCATTTGCAAATATTCTCCCATTATTTGGGTTCTCTTTTAACTTTCTTAAAGGTATTCTACGAAGCACAACAGTTTGAAATTTTGATGAAGTCCAATTTTACCTGTTTTTTTCTCTGGTTGTTTGTGCTTCATGTGTCATATCTAGAAATCATTGCCTAATCTAAGGTCATAAAACTTTTAACCTATGCTTCCTTCTAAGTTTTTTTAGCTTTTACATTTAGGCCTTTCATCCATTTTGAGTTCATTTTTGTGTAATGCATAAGAAGCGATCCTACTTCATTCTTTATGTGAAGATATCTACTTGTCCCAGAATCATTTGTTGAAAAGACTCTTCTTTTCCCCATTAAGCTGTCTTGTACAATTGGTTTTTGTATATTGATTTTTTTCCCCTATAACCACGCTAACTCATTTAGTAGCTCTAATGCTGTTTTTGTGGATTTCTCAGCATTTTTCTACATGCAAGATTATATCACCTACAAATACAGATAGTATTACTTCTTCCTTTCCAATCTGGATGCCTTTTCCTAGCGGCTCTGGCCAAATCCTCTAGCGTAACACTGAACAAAAGTGGAGAAGCAGAAATCCTTGCTTTGTTCCTTATCTCAGGGGAAAGCTTTCAGTCTTTCACCACTGAGCAGGATGTTAGCTGTGTATTCACAGATGCCCTTTACAAGACTGAAAAAGTTCCCTTCTGGTTTTCTCATGAAAGGGCTTTGGTGTTTGTCAAATACTTTTTCTGCATCTATTGAGATAATCACATGGTTTCTGTCATTTATTCTATTGACATGGTATGTTAAATTAATCGATTTGGGGTATTAAATCAAACTTATATTCCTGGAATAAATTTCACTTGGTCATGGTGCATAATTCTTTTTATATGTTTCTAGATTCAGTTTTCTAGTATTATGTTGAGGATTTTTTCAACTGTTTGTAAGAGATACAGGGTTTATAATATTCCACTTTAGGCAGACTATCACAAACAGCAACATTTATCAGCTCCTTATTTAATACCTATAATACCTTATTTAGGAAAAAATAATCTATGCTTAGAAGAGAACTGTTATTTATTGAAAACTATACAAATGATCTAAAACTTGGAAATGAAGAAGTAAAATTTAGAATTCATCATAGAAAGCTCTGCCTTCATATTCAAATAAGGCATGTTTACAACTGCTCGATATGAACTGCTATATTCTAGTAATTTTGATCTCTATAGTCGTTAAGGCAATTCAGATATTTCTGAAATGGACTCTGTCCTTGACTTGCACAGAGGAATAACAGAAGGAGGTACTTGGGACCCTTAGTCACTTGCTAACAAAAGAATATGAATCAATTTCTTAGACCTGACATCACCTAAAATTAAATCACACAAAACAACTTTTCCACATGAAAAGATTCCTCACCAATGTTCTCTCTGATTTTCGAACAAATGGAAATTTTTCCACCAGTATTGGCATAAGAAACCACGGTGTCCTAGTTTAAAAAAAAAAAAAAAAAGTCAACCAATCCATGTTAACTGGATAACATTTCCATTCTATGAGCAAATATTCCAAGAGGCAAACGGTAACTCCTACCTCAAGCACCCAGAACTTAAAATAAATGCATAGCTATGAGGAAAATCTGTAGTAACTTAGGGGAAAAGAAGCTTCTATTAACTTTGTTTTCAACAGCAAATTAAAGGGGAATTCTTTTTCTACAAAAGTAACAAAGAGGGGCCAGCCGAGTGGCGCAATGGTTAAGAGCTGGCTTGGGACGCCAGACGGCCCCGGTTCGGATCCCACATATGAGGGCCAGTGACACTGCCCTCTACAGCTAAGATGCTGAACAACAGCTCAACTTGGAGCTGGGCTGCCATGAGTCGCCGGCGGTAGGCTGCAGCCTCTGTGGCAGTGGGTTGCCATGGGCTACTGTGTGTAGCCAGCAGCCAGCATGAGCGGCCAGGAGCCGCAGTGAGCGGCCGTCCAGAAGCCGGCGACTGATCTGCCTCGCCCGGGAAGAGCGCAATGATGGTGCCAACTTGGGCCAGTGAAGCAACATCCTCCACAACTAGACTGAAGAACAAAATGACAGCAACTTGTCTGTTCCCCTTCCCCCAATTCCCCAGTGCTGTTTCCATCCCCCAATTCCCCAATAAAAATCTTTATAACAAAGAGCATCAGTTTAAAATCAAAACATTTTCTAGTACACACATATATTATTTTAAAAAGGAGAAAAAATGATCAATTTGGACTTTTTTTAAAGTTAGCAAATAATAAACTTGCAGAGGGAACTTGAAGTCCACCCCTCCAAAAGAAACCCACACACCTTAAAAGCTTTTCTTAGAACTGCAATTTTTATTCATATGGCATGATAAACACAGAGGTTTCTCACTGAAAATTTTTGGATAGCATATCTGTTGAAGATAAAAGCAAAATTCCAACCACTATACATAACTTGGGAAAGAATTTGGATACAAGTTTAAAAAAATAAAGACAATAAATAGAGAATTGAAATTCCATTTCAATTAGAATGTGATGTTATAGGCAACAGGATACAAAAAACATGTAGCATACAACTTAACTTTGAAAGCTATGAGCATTTTGTAATTTTCCACTAATTGATGATAATTTTGAGATATAAACACCATGATTCAAAATACGTAAAAAAGTATACTCACGATGGAACGTATCTTGCTATTATTTGCAAGGCCCTGTGACATGTGTCAAAATTTGCAGGAAGATCTACAAGAGGAAAGGTGAGAGCATGAGCATCAAAAGAAAACTGAAAAATTATGCACTTGAAGCTTAAAAACACCTGCCAACCAAAACTGAATCATTTATCAGTGAAATAATAATTTCAAGATTTTTCTCCATAGCCAACTATAAATGAAGATTAAATGGACTAATTATGTAAGTAATACAATGAAGGCATCTAATCGCATGTTAGTGGTCAATATAATAAAAAAAAGATTCCATCAAAGATTGCCGCTTATTGCAGTCTACCTATCAGAATAGGTTCTGTAGTTGCCAGTAAACGCTATCATTCAGCACGCATGCTCTAAGACACAGCAGGTATTTTTTTACTTTATTAGCTTTATACTTACTATCATCTTCGTCGTCAGAATCTGAAACATCTATGTCACCATCCTTGGTGACCACTCGGGCTTTTGAGGGAAAAACAAAATATGTTATTCTTGTCATTGACCTAAACAATCAACAGCTACACAAAAAAGTGATTTTTCCATTGTCCAAACTAGTATAATGATTAAATTTACAATCTGGGGGAAAAAGAAAAAGTCAAGTAACTTTACAGGTTTTAAACAGCTAAAAATTTCTGAGTTCTAAGACTTCGACAGAAGCTCTAAACGAAATTACAACCCGTAAAATTCACAGCAACAAACAAACCCAGACACTTCCACAGAGATCATTACAGGAAACACACATACACCACAACTGCTGTCAACATGCATCCTGGAATGTTCAATATGGCCCCATCTCTAGGGTGTACTGGAGAGGTATTATTTTAATCAACAGATATTTAAAAAGTAAATAATCGAAGCAAACAAAGAGGAACCACTTACGAGGAACAAAATGAGAAGCAATCATGCTGAGACATGGTCTGAGGAAGACAGTTTGTGCTGATACAAGATTACTAAGAAAAGCCAAATACTCCTCCACCACTGTCTGACTTCTATTCAACCACTTTAATCTCTAGAGGCAGAAGAAAGAGGAGGAAAAGAGAAACGTTTTACTGATACAGTATATACTATTTTCAAGGTACTGAATTACACACTAGTCAGTGAAATAAATGGTGAACTTACCAACAGAATACCAATCAGCTGCTCAAAGTCTTTGGTCAAGTACATGATGGAGGATCGGAATTCAAACAGCCAGTTAATGATCTGGTCGTCCTTAAGTTAACAAAGAAAAGTACTTTGAAAATCACAAAGCTTTGAAAATAACAGAAGATGATATCTATCGTGCATCAATCACCTATCGATAATATTTAAATTAGGGGAAAATATCAAAAATTTAAGCCAAAATTGGGATGAAAATTTCTTAGTTTGTATTAAACTGGAAGAAGATGTTATACTAAATTTTCCCATTTTAGAAAAACGTCATGTAGTAATTCGTATACAGGAAAAAGAATTAAATGCAATACTTCATTCTCATTGTTTGCCCTAAGAAAGTGCTTAAAAACACCTCAAATGTTAACACCTAGGACTTTTTAAACTGCAGAATTATAGAAGATGCAAATATTATAGTCATTAATAAATAACAAATTTTTCTCAACCCAACCTGTAACTGGGTTTAGACGTATTAAGATTTGTTATGTATAAATGATGGTACCACTACTCCATGGAATAGTTTTCAGGCAATAAAATTACTATTCACAACTTTTAGTGACATGGAAAAAAACTGCTAAATAAATTTAAAAAAAAAAAGAACAAGCTATGAATAAAATATGTAACTGATATCAGTTACATAAGATAAAGACATTGTTTGACATACACACACACACACACACACACACATATACACACACAACATACACAAGAGAAAACTAAAAGCCCCATTTTTTAAAGAAAGTGATTAAATGCTGATTAAGACTCAGTATGGCAGAGATATAAATAAACAAAAACAACTGTGTTGTACCTACAATAACAGACGACTCACAGACAGTGTTGTGCCTATAGTGTTAGGCTATTAATAGACAGGGTTATACCCACAGTTACAGACTATTTATAGGAGGTATCACTTAGTGAGAACACACCAGGTACCAGGCATGGTGCTCAATACCGTACATACATATCTTTTCCTAATCCTAATAACACAAAAGGACTACTGCTAGGGCAGGCAGAATGGCTCTGTTGGTTAAGAGCTAGCTCAAGAGTGTGAGCTCTGAGCAACAGCAGTTCGAGTCTCGGCCCGAGCTGAGCTGCCAACAGGTGGCAGGATGGCTCAGCTTAAAAAAAAAAAGGACTACTGCTATTCCATTTTACAGCTGAGGAAACTGAGGCTAAGAGAAATTAATAAGAAACTTGTCCAACCAAGAAGGCAATAAACAACCAGGTTCAAACCTGTGTGTCTGGGTCAAAGCCTATGCTCTGCCCACTCTCCCACAATGCCTTGCTCCACTCTTCCCCATCTTCATTCAAGCACTGAGCGCTTTCTATTTGCTATGTGACAAACTTCGATGGAACTGACTGTCTTCTGATGAAACCCCAAGTGAGCCGGCAGTAAAATAAAGGAAATCACCACTCATTTGTGCTATGGTGCTTTCATAACGTCCACAACCATTAAGGGTAACATTAATGATGGCTCACACCACCTGAGGCAGAGAAGACAAGCCGAGTTATGTGCAAATAAAAATGAGTTAGCGCTACCCTATTGGTTTTCCATTTAAAAAAGTATAACAAAAGTATAAGGATAACATTTAACCTGCTCCATTTTTTTAAAGCAAACCAGTGACAGACTTTGGTGCATTAGTACTGAACTATTTTCAGAAGCAAGTTACTTGCAACAGCCCCATGAACTAACACAGACACAACTGATGTGATATCAGCATGTCAAGATGCTGAGGATGAGAAGTGCTGATATAAACTACAGTGGAAGACCATGAAATGGTCCTTTGTACCTGGGGAGAAGGCAAGGGTCAGGGAAGGCTTTAAACAGGAAGTGATGCTTCTGCTGTCTTTAGACAGAGCGAGTATTCTCTGGGGGCTCCATTCCTTACAGAGGGAAAAGCATCTTTTTAAAAAAACCAATAGTTCTGTATGGCTAAAGCACGCGGTGAGCATGCCAGCAAATAAACCTGGGGAGCACAGCGGGGCCAGATAAATCACTGAAGTCCCTGTGAGCCACCTTTGCAACTAGAAAGATCTGCTGGACGTGTGGGGAATGGACTGAGTCAACAATCATGTGCTAATAAGAGAGAACCAGGGAACGTTCCATTAGAGAAGGTGACGTTTCAGCTGGATTTCAAAGACTACAAGTTTTGTAGATTACAGTAATATGGACGGTCCCCAACTTATGATGGTTTGACTTAAAACCCCACAGAAAGTCGAGGAGCACCGGTAGTAGTAAACACTAATATAGTACTTACTTTGTGCCACGCACTGTTCTAAGACTTTAACATTTATTTATTAACTCATTTAATCCTTACAACCACTACTCAAGGTAGGTACTACCATTGGTTCCCATTTTATAGATGGGATGACTGAGGCACAGAAGTGCAGGATCTTGCCTTCAATCACGAAGCTAGTAACGGAGAGGGTCCATGTAGCCAGATACAGGACTTTTTGCAACCAGAAAGAAAAGGCATGTGCAAAGGCATAAAAGATGAAAACAAGTGGCAAATGCATGGAATAAAGTATCTAGTGAGACTGAACATAGAAAAAATATTATAGGCCATGCAAAGAAGCTGGTCCTTTATTCTTCAATAGGCATGAAGTTTTTCAGGAGGGCAATGACATGTTCAAGATGTGCTTTAGAGATGATTTAGGCTGCACTACTGAGAATAAATTTTGGGGTGTGTGTGTGTGTGTGTGTGAGTGAAAGAGTGAGGGAGAGGAAGAGGGAGAGGGAGAGGGAGAGGGAGAGGGAGAGNGGCAACCCTGGGACTCTCATACGGTAGTTCTTGTACAGCAATAAAGAAGAGGAACCTAAGAAAGTGTGAGTGTGAGTGTGTGTGTGTGTGAGAGGGAGAGGGAGAGGGAGAGGGAGAGGGAGAGGGAGAGGGAGAACTGGAACCTTGAGATCACTAAAGAGATTACTAGAAGAATCCAGACAAGAGAAACCCCACAAAACAATACTGAAAAGATCTTCCCCCCCCAAAGGACGTGGTGAATCAATGGATAAAAGGGGTGACAAAGTACAGAAAGACTCCGCGGTTCCTAGCTGAAGAATCAGGTAAGCAAAAATTAGTTAAGTACACAAAGGCTACAGAAGCAGTAGGTTCAGGAGAGAGAAAATGCTAAGTTTGTAGCACGTCCTAATAGAACACTAAGTTTGTAGCAAATACTAATGCTACAAAGAATTAGTATGAGGCTTGAAAAAAAAAAAAAGCCCATTGAAATCAGCATGTAAGAAATCACTGGTAATCTTATCATAGTAATTACAGCAATGGACTTAACCACGAATGGGAAATCAAAGTGTGAACCATGCCAGCAGAAACAACTAGCAAAAGCCCTTACTTTGAGTGAGGGGCTGTTCTAAGTCCTTCTCATATATTAACTCACTGGACCCTCTTAAAACCTCTATGTTCAAAAAAAGTTCTATTGTTTTTCTGGTTTTACAAAGAGGAAACAGAGGCACAGAGGTTAAACAACTTGTCCAAATTCACACACTGAGTAACGGTGGAGTCGGGTTTTTATCCCAGGCAATCTGATTACCACTGCAATAAAGGAACAAAGGGGAAACAAAGTGTATTGAGTTGTTACTACAAGACAGGTATGATACTGTATCATGAAGTCTGAAACAATGAGAGTAGTAGCTTAAAGGACAAGTCATCTTTCATTGTTTCTGTTTTAGCAGCGCAGAAACATGAGTATTGACGGCAGCACCAAGGAAAAGGGGTATTACAAGGGAAAGATTAAAGCCTGCTTTCTCAACTTTGGGACTGCTGACATTTTGGACTTGATAATTCATTGTTGTGGAGGGCTGTCCTGGGTACTGTAGAATGTTTATTTAACAGCACCCTTGTCATCTACTCATTAGATGCCAGAAACACACGTCCTTTCCTCCTGTAATGTCTCCAGTTTATCACCAAATAAAAGAAGGGGCAGAACTGCCCCTTGTTGAGAACTACTGGGTTAAAGGAAATAGGGGTCACAGAGGGAGCAAGCTCTAAAGGATAGTATGGGACCAAATAAAAGTGCAAACTAACATCTGTCCAAAGTGGCAACAACTTTGCTAATGATCAAACACAAAATTAATTACCTTTATGTCTGGATCTGACAGCTGGTTCTTCAACAACTCATAGTCATTTGTTTCACCCTTAACGAGAAGAGGGGGAAAATGGAAGTTTTACTTGCTTTGGTTTCCTGTTAAAGATCAATAGCAGGACTTTTAACTATACCTTAACATCTGATGAAATTACAAAAGGAACATTATAACTTCCACACATCACCTGTAGTTATAAAATCGACTACAGAATTTAAAAACTCATGTTATCGGAGCTACAAGGCTTGAAAAAAGAAAATGACAATTAAAAAGCCATTTATATTTCAGTATACTTGTGTACTGACATTTGAATGTAATTGTCAATATTTTAAGGTACTATCCATTCACATGTATGGATATAAATGCATATGACATAAAATAGTCACTATATGTCAATTATACCGCAATTTAAATAAAAGTCATTCATATTGTCCCTCCATTACTGAGATTTACTAGGATCACTTCTAAACTAATACAACCCCCCCCCCCAAAATCCGTATTAATAGAGCTGGTTTATTGTCCCAAAGTAATGCTTAGGTAATTCCTTCAGGAATAAAATGCTGTGATCTAATGGTTTTTCCCTCTAACATTTGTTGAAGTTTTTTAAAGACATATGTAAAAAAAGCAGCTGAATAGGTGAAACTTCAGCAAAGAGGTTATTACTCTAATTTTAAGCTGACAGCATCATGCTGTCATTAAATATCTGATTTCAAGATGGGTATCTAAAATTCATCTTATTATGTCAACTGGTCTTTATAATAGCTATAATTATAATTTGACAAAAATAAAAACCTCAATATGTCAATTATATCTCAGTACAGCTGGGGGGAAAAACACCAAACCTCACGTATTATCTCCTGTTACCTTTCTGTACTTCAGCAAGACTTCTGTTACAGTTCCACCAAACCGAACAGTTTTTCTTGGGGGAGAGTTGAAGAAATCATTCTCTAATGTAAGCATATCTGAAATCCTGTACAACCAAGATTATCAAGTTATTAAGTGTATGACAGAGAATGATACAAATTATAGTAGTCAACATTTCTGAACCATCATCATTCAGTGGGACAACTGCTAAAGCCTCTTCACTGCCCTCCCAGCTTCCACTCTTATCCCCCAACAATCCTGACAAACAAAAACCAAACCTCGATATGTCAATGATCTCAAGCAAGACGGCAAGGGTGGGAGGTGAGGGGGTGGGGATGGGGGGGGGGTAACAACAACACACCAAACCTCAGGTGCTCCTCCCAGTACCGCCTCTGCCCCTCCCATCAGCGATCTAATGACCTTTCAAAAACTGAGAACAGGTCAGGCTACTACTCTGCTCTCCTGATCAAACTCTCCTATAGTTTCCTGCCTCACTCACAATGTTGTCTCTTGATAAAGTACTGTCCCCAGGGTCTAACACAGTAGGTAGGCGCTTAATAAATATTATGAACGGTATTATGCTAAGTGTTTTTCAGAGCTTGCTTCTTTTAAACAGAGCAGATTAGAGGGGGGAAAGCATACTATCCTACTAATGACTCTCAAAGTTAAGCCCCCAAGTGTTTAATGGGGGTGAGGGTCTTTCAAAGCTGAGCAAGATAAAAACTGTCAACCATATGTCGAAGCACATTTCCAACAGAAACAGTTAATATTCAATTTGCCATCGGTGACAGATAGCATTCGGCTGATCATTCAAACAGCCCAGGGAACTTATTAACAAATCTAGAGGAAAGAGTAAAAAACCAGAATGCAGTACCCAGGCCTGGGACGCGATAAAGGAGCCGTGGGGAGGAAAGGGGACTCTGGCACAGAGAGCAGATTCATTTCTCCAGACCCTCTCGCACCTTTAGTATCCACTTAAAAGGCACAGGCTTCCTCTTCAGCACCTGAGATGACCCTCTACCCTCAGATCCCACCCCCCTCCATCAGCGCTGTCCTGGGTTCTTCAAGATCCGCTTCCCTAGCCCCGGCCCGGGGCCTCGGCCCCAGCTGCGCAGAAGCAGCGACCCGGAGTCTTACCCAGCTCTCGATGCCCCCAGCGTCTTGACCGCAGAGGCCGAAGCGGCCGCATCTCCGGGCAGCCGCGTGTGAAGCGCTGGGGCCGCCATTGCGCCTGATAAGTGCGACAACCTCACCTCGCGGCCGGAAGTCGTGCTCCTTCTAGTACCGCCTCTGTCGCGGAAGCGGCCTTCAGCCAATCAGGAAGCCCACGTGGGGAGCGGGCAGCCCGCTCGCGGGCTAGAGCGCCGCAAACGTTTTCTCCCCCTCTCCCCACATCAGGCCCCGTCTTCTACGCGGAGGACTTTCTCCGCCTACCGAGGTGTGGGACCTAGAGCGGCCCCAAGTACGTCCTGGGCGAAGAGAGGCTTAGGGCCGAGTCTGTCCAACTTGAGGATCACAAAGAAAGGGCGGGACACCCGAGAAGTGCTAAGCGGTGGCTGCGTTCCTCGAGTATTATTAACTTTTTGGATTCGAAGCCTCCCTCAGTCAAACTGAACAGACGGAAGCCCTGCGGTTAGCCCAAACCCTCAGAGAGATGGGGAGGACTGGGGATTCAAACTAGGCTTGACCCAGAATCCGGGGCTCTATGCCCACTGCACTATCCTCACATACATCCAACATTATCTTATCCTCACGGAAACAGGCTTAAGCAAGGGATTTACCTAAAAACTTCAGAGCTGTGATGTTGTTGGGATGAGAAATCAAGGAGGAGAGGAGACAGTTTCCCAAGAGGCAGTAGCCCTTGAACCTCAAATTTTGATAGTACAGGAGCCAGACCAACAAAGAAGGGAAGGGTGTTCCAGGCATAGGAAACAGCAGGTGGCAAGGGATGGGCGGTGGGGAGGCAGAGAGAAAGAGGGACTCCCCCTCCCTTCTATTTCTAAGAGGGGAAAATGTTTCAATCTTTGGGAACTGTACAGAACTATAAAAAAATACATTATCCCAGCTGCAACAACGTGTTAAATATAAAGCACTCTTCTGTTTTGCAATAGTGTAAAATCAGTAACTGTCTTTCTCCTGTCTTCATATGGTCCCACTGTTTCTTCCCTCGCTGCTTTAGAGTTCCTGTGGAATGTTGGGTAGACATCATCAATGTCCCAGAAGTAGAGGAAACTGCACCCTAGCTCACAAAGATGCTTCAAGACAGCTGTTTAAATAGGCATCTCTTTCCCTCCACCCTCAAAGGAAAAACATTAAATCACAGTTCACCGACACTGTCATACACTGTCAGTAGAAATTTAACTCTGTACTGCCAAGCAATTTGAGTTACTTTATTCTTTCATTTTTAAAGTGTCATGTACAGAATGTTAATGTAAATTTAAAAACATAATAAAATGAAAACCTGTGACTGTACCACCCAATTTATGAAACATTAACCTGTATTATTGAAGCTCCCTGCTTCTTCCCAAAAGTAATCACTACTCTGATTTTTAAAAATAATTGAAACTTGTCTTTATGGAATTACCATATAGGCCTAGACAATATACTATTTATTTTTACTTGGTTTTTAATTTAATAAAACTATTTCCATGCTATATTATACTGCTGCTTGTTTTCAATTAATTTTGTGTTTCTAGAATCCATCTGTTATATGTAGTTGTATTTTATTTTATCTGCCATGTAACATTCCATTATATGAACATACCATGATTTATATATCCACTTCCTATCACCAACGTTTCAATTCTTTCCTTTCTTCCCTCTCCCTTTATGTACATAGCTATGAATATTCTTGTACAATCACCTGAACCATGAACGAGAATATTTTTAGGGTAGAATTGTAGGTATGGAGGGTATATAAGAAACAAAGAGTTTTCCAAAAGTGTGCCAATATACACTCCCAGTAATATCTCCTCCATAAGCTTGAACAGAGGTCTTTCTTTATTTTCCCAAAGCACAGCCAAGACTAGGTTGCCATGTTTAAAATTTTTTTGAATGGAGAGAGAGATAATTCCAGCCATCAGGGAGTTTACAAACCTATCAAATCAGATTTAACTTGCACATTAACAATTTTAGACAAATTTTCAAAAGGGAGCAAAAAAGGGAAGGTACAGAACAAGATGTATAAGATCATACTATTTACATTTTAAGTACACACACACACACAATTTTGCATACTATCTGGATAGACACACCGACACTAATAACAATGATTGTTTCTGGGAAAAAACCATGGAGAACTGGGAGGGAAAGGGCATCAGGGGTTGGAGGAAGATTTACTTTTCATGGTATAGCTGTTAGTCCTATTTCACATTTTTTAAAAAACCATGTTGTGGCTACTTCTTAAAAAATTAAAATGTTCTGGTGGTAAGAAAAATGCAACATGCTTCATGTTTTTGAGCTCAAATTCAAATCTCTAAGATTATATATATATATATATATACACACACACACACACACACACACACACACACACATATATATATTTTAAGATTTTATTGGGAAATTGGGGGAGGGGAACAGCGCTGGGGAATCGGGGAACAGACAAGTTGCTGTCCTTTTGTTCTTCACTCTAGTTGTGGAGGATGTTGCTTCACTGGCCCATGTTGGTATGATCATTGCGCTCTTCCCGGCTGAGGCAGATCTGTTGCCGGCCACTGGACAGCAGCTCACGGTGGCTCTTGGCAGCTCACACCGGCTGCCAGCCACTCACAGTAGCTTATGGCAGCCCACTGCAGCTTCACTGCGGCCTAAGCCGATGCTGGCAACTCACTGGCAGCCCAGCTCCAGGTCGAGCTGTTGTTCACCATCTTAGCTGTAGAGGGCGCAGTGTCACTGGCCCACATGTGGGCTCTGAACCAGGGCCCTGCTGCTCAGAGCCAGGGTCCCAAGCCAACTCCTAACCAACGCGCCACTCGGCCGGCCCAAGATGGTATATTTTTTTAATGAGGCTATTTACAATTCAGTGAAATGATAATTACATTGATTTGTTGGAAAGAGGAGTCATACTCAGACAAACTTTCAAATTTTGGTCCAGCCTCTGCCACTAGCTAGCTGTGCAGTCTTAGGCAGGTCACGTATGGTTTGGGGCTGTTAGTTTGAGAGGGGAGAGGGCAGGGACTGGACTAAATGGCCTTTGGAATTCCTGAAGTCAGTAAGTCAGGAGTTGATTGGTCCATATCTATTTATTAGGTCTAAATTTATTATTGCTTAAAAACATTTATTAGATTAGAAACAATCGAAATGTCTATCAACTGGAACCAAGTTAAATTATGATACAGCCACTGAATGGAATAGTATGTGTTCATAAAAATGAATGAAAAAGCTCTTTAATAAAAATAAAATGAAAAGATCTCCGATACATGTTATGTGAAAAAAACAAGGTGCTGAACAGTATGTAAACACTGGACTATGTAAACACTTTACATAAACATGAATGACACATATTTAAAGTATATTATGTATAAGTGATTTATAAGAAACTAGTAACATTTTTAATGTCTATGAGTAGCACTGGGCTAAGGGCTGTAATGAGACTTCAGTATGTGCCATTTACGCTTTTAAAATATATTATCTAAACAAAGACTTAAATTTTAAAAATCTGATCTCTTTAAAAACTTTTCTTTTAAATCGTGGAAAAAATACGCCAGGAAAGTTGAGTGTTTTTAAAATACATAAATATCTATATTCATTAAGATGATTAAAGCTGTTCCTATTTTTCTAAGTGACCATCTTCTGCTTCTAGGCACTGTTGGTGGCAGCTGAGGGTCACTAACCACAGATCTTAAGAACCACATCTGGGCCAGCCGAGTGGCTCAGTTTGTTAAGAGTTGGCTTAAGAGCACGAGCTCGGAGCAACAGGGCCGCCGGTTCGATGGGCCAGTGACGCTGCGCCCGAGCTGAGCTCTCGCTGAGCTGCCAACAGGTGGCAGGATGGCTCAGCTGGTGTAACAACAAGATTGCCTGTTCAATGGTGGGCTATGCCCACCTGCAACTAAGACTGAACCCGGCACCTTGGGCTGGGCTGGTGCCCGGATGGCTCAGTGGATAGGGAGTGCGGTCTTATTAACAACAAGGCTGCTAGTTCGACTTCTGCACAAGGTGGTGGCACAAGGTGGTGGCTACGCCCACCCACAACAAAGATTGAACACAGTACCTTGAGCTTAGAGGCCAAGAGCTGCCGGTGATGGGAAGCCAGATGGTGACTGGCACCCTCCACAACTAAGATTGAAGAAAAGCAACTTGGCTGATCCCCTTCCCCAATTCCCCAACAAAATCTGTAAAAAAAAAAAAAAAAAAAAGAACCATTTCTATTTACCCAAGATAAAATCTAATCATATTAGTATTGATTAGCCAGGGAAAGATAAAAGGCTTTTCTGTAGGTTCCTGCAAACACGAGGGGGCACACACACACACACACACACACACACACACACACACACACACACACACCTCTACAATGTCCTTTGCACTTTTTGAGCACTTTGATCTGTAGTACATACATTAAAGTTCATTTTTCTCTAAGTTCCTAACCGTAGTTCTGGAGTTATTAAAACAACAGTGCTTACCTGCTGCATTTTACATATAGAAGCTCAACTGTTACATATATTATTACTTAAAAATATATGTATAAATTTCATGTGGCTTATACATTGCTGGTTTAGTCCAATTATTCTTTTTTTTTTAATTGTGGTAAAATTTAGCATCTTAACCATTTTTTAGTGTACGATTCAGTCATGTTAAGTACATTCACACTGTTGTATAACCACTCTCCGGAACTCTTTTCATCTGAAACTATAACTATTAAACAGCACCTCATTCTCCACTCTCCCCAGCCTCTAGTAACCGTCATTCTAATTTCTGTCTCTATGAACTTGATGCTCTGGAAATCTCACATAAGTGGAATTATACAGTATGTGTCCTGTGGTGACTGACTTATTTCATGTAACATAAAGAATTATTCTTTCTCCAAGTACTTGTAATACAAAGTCTTCTGGCTTCAGTTAATTTTCTAAAATTATAAATATAGAAATACTGGCACATAGGACAGAAAAGGGAAAGACATATAAAAACTGCTAAATTGGCCAAGTGGCTCAGTTGGTTAAGAGCTCACTCAAGAGTTTGAGCTCTGAGCAGCAGTGGTTTGAGTCCAGCCCGAGCTGAGCAGCTGCTGAGCTGCCAACAAGTAGCAGGATGGCTAAAAATCTGCTAAAAGTTTTCAAGTTTTAATCCAAAGTA